AAAGTCTTTTTAAAAATTATATGAATGCTCTCTCTTATATGTTTTTTGTATATTTAATTTACTAATTAAGGCTAAAAAGAATTCTTTATTAAAGATTTTAAAATTAAATTAAAATATTTTTATCAAACAAACTATTTTTCTTTTTTTACTAGAGGAAAAGATTAAGCTTTTAAATATTTGTATTTTTTTCTAGAGCAGAACCTAAAACTTGAGCGTCCTTATCTATAAATTTACAATCACTTTTGTTAAATTAATATAATGATATGAGTTATTTAAATTAACTAGGATGAATCAATAATTAATGCAATAAAAGTTACAAGTTAATTATTAAATGAATATGAAAATCAAAAATTAATATTGAAATAATATTAATAAATTTACTTTAATCTCAAAGCTAAAGTTGATATATCCATACAGTTTGTTAAAACATGACTTATATCTTCTGATAAATTTTCATAAGTATTAAAGCTTCTAGATATAAATTAATAATTTATTTCAATTAATATTGAATTTAATCAGAAAAAATTTAACATAAATTTGTTATTAAAGCTAAAATAAAAAATAGCAAATAAAAATCTAACAAAAAAATATTTTTATTATTTAATTTTTTAATATAAAACTTAAGCTATAATAATAAATAAATAATATTTTTTTACTATGATATAAGTTCCAAATTTTATAATTTTGTCTTTTAAGCTAAAGATGAAATCAAAAACTTAAATATCTTTTCATTTTGTTTATTTATAATATAAATGATGGTGGGAACACGAACCCAAATCAGAGTACTATCAAAATATTATATTTTACTGATAATTAAAAGTAATTTTTATAGAAATTTTAAGGTAAAAATGAACATTATTGAGTAAATAAAATTTTTTTTAAATATACTAATGTTTAAAATTAAATAATAAAAATTAAAACAAAGAATATTTACGAAAAATAAAGACTCAAATCTAAGAGATTATGCTAATTTTGTAAAGGAATTTAATTTTATTAGGTTTAGTAATCGAAAATGCTTTCCTTGACATATTCTGACCTTAATTATAATCTTAATAAAGATATTAATTAATTGAGTTAAAATGAAAAATTAAGTTTAAAAATATAAAAAATATTTGCAAAATAAGTGATAGAAGATTAATTAAGATTAAACATGAAGATAAGAATTTTTATTATTTTATATTTATTATTAATAAGTGAATAAATCAAAATAAACCATCAAGAAATTTACTTATAAACGAAGCTCAAAACTAAAATTTAGAGATTAGGTATATTCAATAAAGCTGCGCCAGTTTCAATTTCATAATCAGATTTCATTTAACTATTTATTAAAAAATAAATTAAATACTTTGATTTTACTTTTAATTTTAATAATATAATTAAAACTAAATAAATAATAATTTAAATTATAAAATTAATAATATATTGAAAATTTATTTTTAATAAATAGGAAAAAAAAGTTATTCAAAATTAATTTAAAAATAAAAGATAGATAGATATATTTGCATTTAAACGTTAGTTAAATTTAGTGTAAAGTTCAATTAAATGTGTAGAAATGTAATTAATTTACTTTCGATAAAATGAGAGATCCAAAACTTCAAGACTATTTCCTAATTATTAAATGCTTAAAGCTAAATCTTTAGCTCCCTTATCAATGCTGTTTTCACTTTTATTTATATAATATAATTTTATAAGTTACTCTTATTAAAATGATAATCAAAATACAAATGAAAATTTTGTTTTAAATTTAAAAACAATAAAATAAAGTAATTTTTTAAAATATAAAAAGAAATTTTTTTAAAACTATAAATTAAAATTTTTTACTCTAATATTAATTTTAATCTTTTCAGTTTTTGAGATTAACCTATTCCTTAGCCTAAGTTTTATATTCCTTTGTTTCCTATATAGTTTTTTCTAAAAAAAGAATTTTCCTTCATTCAACTTATAATAAGCTTGCTATGCTTACTTTAAATTGAGTTAGAGATATTCAAGATTGACAATATTTTCTAGGCAAGTCCCTAATATAGAGGCACCTTCATTTTTTATCTTATTTTTGCTATTTATTTAATTAGAACAAAATTATAAAAAGGTTTCTTTTTTTATAAAAAAAATTAAAACAAACTCTTGTTATTCTCCATAAAATTAAGCGAATAAAAGTAGAATAACAAAAATAATTATTTAAGAAAATTTCTATAAATAAATAATTTACGTAAAGTCTATTTACAAAAATGCAAGTTTATTACATTTTACTAATCCATCGCATAGCTTTTATGTGCCAACATCTTTTAATTAGCATTTACTATCATAAAAAATTGGTTATTAAAATGTTATAATTATATGAATGTCAAAATAAAAGATTTTTACCTAAAGTTTAAATTCAAGTTTATTAAATTTTCGCATCTTGATAATCCAATTCCTAATCGCGAATTAGCACCTATGAAGTTAGTCCTAAATGTTGAAGGAATAATATGTACATACATTTTAATGATTATATTATAAAAGAATAAATTTATTGCTTATTTAATGTACAAAAAAAAGCAATCAAATCCTACCTTAAGTCTAATTGGAGTATTTAATGTTTAGAAAAGTAAGAGCAATGGAACTATTAATTATTTAAAATGTATTAATATTATGAATATATCATTTTAAAATTAATTACATTTTTTATTTTTGTAAACTTTTTCTATTTTAATTAAGACATTTTTTTTTGTGTTTATTTTAAAATCTAAATTTTTTGTTCTAAATTTAATTAAAATCTTGAATAATCATATGTTTAAAATAAAGATAAATTTTATGCCTAATATTAGTTTTTAGACTTTATTAAATTGTATTCCTAAGTTATGAAGAATATTAAAAAAAAGTCATATTATTTATTATCTTCAATACAAAATAAATTCGAATTAACCAGCATTTAAATCTGAAAGATTTTTGATGATTATTACACATAATTAAATAAATCTCTTTTATTCCTAGGTTGATAAAAATAAAATTAAATTCCACATCTCCCCTCCCAAACATTAATATTAATATAGCCAAATGCCTTTCTAATATATAATGAAGCGGAATCATTACTTTTTAGAATGTCCTTTATGTTTAAGTAATTTTTTTCTTCATCCAAAATATTTATAAAAAATAGATTTTGATTTATAATATTATTCATTTTAAATCAATTTAAGGCATTCAATTTTTTATTAAATTTTTATAATTTTAGTTTTTTAACGAAATTTTAAAACTAAGAATAGCTTTATCTGTATTTTAGTATAAATTATCTTATTACAAAATATTAAAAAATAAAATATAATATTATTTATTAGTCAAATATTTAATATTAATTCATCCTTTTTTATCACTTGTCTATCACCAGAAATATATTTGAAAAATAATTAATCTTTTTGATTTAAGGTACTTGCTTATTACTTTCGATTCATTGATTTAGTCAGAACTTTTAAATTAAATTAAATTAAAATAAAATAATAAAATAAAATTTTTTTACAATTAATAAATAATAAAAAATTAGCAAAATAAAAAAGAAAAAGATAAATAAATCAAATAAAAAGCTAATAAATAAATAAATTAAAAGAGCTATATTTTTTAAAATATCACAATCCAAAACAAATAAACTAAATTTACTCAAGTTCAACTGTTAAATTTGAGAGATTTGGACAATTTTATAAAGAAGAACCTAAGCCTTATGCACCCATTGCACCAATTTAATTTTAACTTTTTATATATTAAAGAAAAATATAATTAATAAGTTATTTACAAGGAAAAAATAAAAAATTAATTAATTAATAATAAAAGCAAATATTTAAAATAAAAAAATGAGTTAAATTAAGAAAGATAGAAGAAAAATAAATGCTAATATAATAAAAAATTTAAAGAAAACTAAATCGGTTTAAAAGATAATAAACAAATTAAAAGGGCTAAATAGTTTTAAATTAAAGTTTATAAGTAAAAATAACACACTCCAAATCAAATAAACTGTTTTTACTTGAGATAAAGTGACAAATTTGAGAGATTGGAGCAATTTGCTAAACCAAAACCTAAACCTGATGCACCCTAATCACCAATTTTATTCCAACTTTTGAAATATTTAAGAAAAAATAGTATTAATTAGGTATTTAGATGG